AGAAAAGACTGATTTAATGCATAAAGTTGAAGAGGGATCAAAGAGAGCTCATTCAACATCCAGTTTTACTAAGGCATTAGAGGAGTGTGAGGAATGCGCAGGTGGTGATATCTGGTGTCACTGAATAAGAACCATGAGCTAGAACAATTCCAGGCTGGCCCTCTGCTTTGAAAGCACTTCTTAGCCAAGCAGATGGGTTTTAACAATACGCTACCCAGCAGGCCAACCAGGTCCCCACTGTGAAGCTTCAGATATTAGGTGGGGTTCAGAATGAGGTGTAGTTGGTAGAACAGAAAGGAGTAACTAAGAGTCACCTTCTCGTTTTATAGCTAAAGTATAGAGTGGAAGGTGACCTGCCCATGGATACGCAGCAAGTTAGAGGCAAAAGTGGGGCAGACCCTTAGCCTCTTTCTTTTGTATTGCAGAGATCCCTACCCCTCGAAGGTACAACCGTTGGCACCAGAGCACATCAAATTAACATCACCCTATTCATTTTTTTGATTCACTTTTTTCAATTCATTTTTTCTCATCAATCATCAATTCATTTATTCAACAAATGTTACTAAGGGCTCTAAGAGGGAGCTGGGGTAACAAAAATGAAGGAAGTACAACCTGATTCAGACCCCTGGGTAAAATACTCATAAATATACAGTTAAAAGAAAGTTCTACACTGTAGAAGATGACTGGCAGTGGTGCTGCAAGAGGCCTAGGATTTGATTATTCCCTCCTTTAAGCTCCTTTATGCCTAGCGCATACCTCTAATTGCTGCAATCATCACAGTCTATCTGGAAGCCTGAAACACTGCTGGAGGCAAAAATGATAAAACTGCAGCTCTCCTACTTCAGGCACATCAGAAGGCAGGGGTTTTTGGAAAAGACAAAAATACTGGCAAAAATAGAAGGCAGCAAGAAAAAGGGAAGACCAAATATGAGAGGATTGACTCCATAAAAGAAGCCATACGCATGAGTCTGCAGGAGCTGAGCAGGGCTGCTGAGGACAGGACATTATGGACACCACTCATTCATTGATAGGGTCATCAGGAGTCAGACCTGACTCAACAGCATATAACACATATACATGCTTGGGAGACACCGAAGCGCAGGAAGGCCAGAACCACCATGTAGGTGGCAGGATAATATTACATTAGACAGTCCTGAATTAAAATCCTACTTCCTCAATTTACTGAGTATCTTTGGGCAAGTTATTCAACACCTCCAGCCTCAGTCTCCTCATTTGAAAAGTGGGGATAATCATAGTACCTATCTGAAAGGATGGTTGTGAAGATAAAAGAACAGGAGATGCTCAGCATAATGTTAGCAGACATCAGCCCTCAGGCAAAGCAGCTCTTATTCTTATTCACCCTTGAATTACCACAGCGTAAGACAGGCCCTGCACATCTTGAGGGCTCTGTTGACAGAACACGTAGGGAAAAAAAAAAAAACATGACAAGGAGGACAAACTAGACACAATAAATAGAGGGCTCTCCCACAAGAGTCTGCTATTTTTTTTTAACCTAGAAAAAATCATGTTCCTGATATCCTGCGGTTGTGGTTGAGATATCTATGGCAGTTTTAAAATGTCAACAAATTCTTTGATACTCTTCCCTTTGAGAGGTGTTGTCTAACTGCCCTCTGCTTGAGTTTGTGCTGGACTTACTAAGTAGCTTCTAACAAATAGAATAGAGCAGAAGTAACCACGTGCACTTTCAGAGGTTGAGCCGTAAAAGGCATTGCAACTTATTCCTTGCTCTCTCTTGGATTACTCACTCTCACAGCAACCAGTTGCTATATCCTGAAGACACTCATGCAGCCCTAGGAAAGGCTCACGTGGCAAGGAACTGATGCCTGCTAGCCTTGGAAGTGGATCCTCCAGCTCCAGTCAAGCCTTCAGTTGACTACAGCCCCTAATGTCATCCTGACTGCAACCTCACAAGAGACCCTGAGCCAGAACCACCAGATAAGCCACTCTTGAATCTCTGACCACAAAAATTATGAGATGATAAATGTTTCTTGTTTTAAGCCATTAAGTTTAGGGGTAATTTGTTATGCAGCAATTGAGAACTAATAAAACATTTAAATGCAATACTGTTCATTTTTATTTTAAACTTGGAATTTGTTTCTTTCTGGCTTTAATTACCCTCCAAGTGACTTTATGAATAACCATCCTAAGATATAAAAGCATATAATATATTGGACTAATCACAATCTTTGGCTCAAGTTTCAAGAAATATAAGAATTAAAAATAAAAACAAATGTCTAGGTATTCAGAACCCACAAAGCTGCTGTGGTCAGAGGAATAATCAAAATCTGAGCACCCTTCCTTTTAGAGAGAAGCTTAGTATAGTGGTCAAGAGAGCTTCCAGTCACAGCAATGTACCAGAACTGAGAGGAGACTAGATAAACTCTTTAGAAAGAAGAGGCCAAGTCACAAGGTCTACGAAACACTTCACTAAATTCTGTACTATTCTATCTACTCAAGTTTTCCAGGCTGGAGACCCTATAAAAGTGACATTGACCCTTATCTGCAATTTCTCTCCATGTCCCAAATCTAGTCATTCTGGGTGATGTGCCATGAGGAAAAAGCAGGGAATCAGGGGTAGGAGAGACTTGGCTTGGAATCCTGTTTCAGAAATTCAGGCCATTCGACAAACATTGAGTGCATATGTTGTACGAGCAGTAGTGACATCTCAGCTACTACCATAGCGAGTAGAAATTAATAGGGTCCCTTGTCAGTGCCAATCTGATCAAGAAGGGAAGGTTCGATGGTGAGACACCCAGTTGGAAGAATGCACAAAAGGCCAACATGAGAATGAAATGGCAGGCACCAACTTTATTGCAGTTCTATTGGGGGAGGTGCAGTTCTGTTGGGGGGGGGCGGGCGCGGTACTGCATGCACTTCTTCCGCTCCCCTTCTTGTGCTCCCCTTCTGCTCTCAAGGGTACTACATGACTCCATACGTAGCAGAGTACAATAGTAGCATTCAGCCACACATGCATGATACAATAAGCTGAAGTATGTTTACATATTTTAGGCACAGGTGCCCTACTACACTAATATAACATTCTAAATCTGGGGTCCTATTCCTAGCTGTGAGCCTGGATCACAGCCAGACCTGGGACCAGCCAGGTCTGGGACAGACATCCTTGCCCTGATGGAGTGAATACATAGTAGAGGAATTAAATAATCACAAATAAAGGTAAAACTGCACTCAGCTGACAGGTGCACAGGGTAGGGTAAGAGGTGATCAGGGGAGATTTCCCTGGGGAAGTGGTGCTTGATCTCAGAGGTAACAGGTGGAGAGGGAACTAGCCTAAGGAGATGTTAAAAACAAGACAACAGGCCCAAAATGAAGTCACTTATGCCAAGCCCCATGTCACTAAATGGAGACTTAACCTAATAACAGTTTCAGCTCTCCCAGAAATGGAATCTTAAACCAATCAGGAGTCACCTAATCAGCATTAGTTAGGTGATCTATCTGATACACCCCTGCCATCCCCTATTGGGAAAATAACCTTGCAATAACCAATCTGCTTTTTGCCTAGTTTAATCTTGTTCCTGCTCCCCTCTGCCATACAAGTCTTTCATTTTGTACAGCTCTTCAGAGAGTGGATGCTAGATTGGATACTGATCGATACATAAATCATTAAATAAAGCCAGTGAGATCTTAAATTTTACTCAGTTGAATTTTGTTTTTTAACAGGGAGAAGGAATAATATTCCAAATAGAGGAAACAGAATGTGTAAAGGTGCAGTAACAGGAAAGAATATGGCATGTACCACAGGCTGAAAGCAGGTCAGTTAAGCTTGAGTGAGAACAGGAGGTGGAAAGGAGTGGATGAATGTGAGAGGTTATCAAGGAGGCCAAATTGACAACAGCAGTTAGAGATATTTTAGGTGGAAGCAGACAACCTGACCAATAGTGGCTTACAGACATAAGTGTGTGTGTGTTTCCTCAGATAATAACAAGTTTCCTTAAATAACAAGAAAATAAGAATTCTGGAGGTGGGAGGGATTTGTTTGGTGCTTTATCCTCACAGCTGCATCCAGCTCCATGCCTCATGGTAAAGTCCAAATCAGGAAGAATGAAAAAAGAGGCAAAATTTATGACAACTGTCTCTTTTATCAGGAAAGGAAAACCTTTCCCAGAAACCTCCAGCAAACTTCTGCTTAATAAGTCTTACTAAATAGAACTATTTCATCAGGCCGCTCCTATCTACCAAGGAGGCTGGAAAACCAACTGTTTAACTTTTCTAGATTCTTTAGAAGTGATGGAAAAGGGAGAAGGGGATTGGGAGTGGCTGTTGAATTAGTAAATTCACAGTGAGTTTGCAGGTACAGGGCAAGGGAAGTGAACAACTGGATGATTGGTGTCATTCTCTGAGTGGATAACATAGAAAGATCACGAGTTCAGATTTGGATATATTGAGTTTGAGGTGTGGTAAACTGAATAATGGCCTCCAAAAATATCTGTGTCCTAAACCCTGGAACATGTAACTATCACCTTATATGGCAAAAGGAACTTTGCAGGTGTGATTAAGTTAAATACTTTGAGATAGATTATCCTGAACTATCCAAGTGACCACTAGATGCAATCACAAGTGTCCTCATAAGAGGAAATGACAGGGAGATTTGACTCTAGAAAAGTAATAGATGTGACAATAGAAGCAAAAGGTTAGAGTGATGTGAGAAAGGGGCCAAGGAATACAATCTATCTCTAAAAGCTGAAAAATAAAAGATCTTCTCCTCACAGCCTCCAGAAGGAACCAACCCCGATGACACCCTGACTTTAGCCTAGTGAGACTAATTGTAGCAGCAGTAGGAAACTAATGAAAGGTGCCTTTAAAACACCTAAGAGATGTCAGGCCAGCTTCTGAATATAAGGATCTGGAGATGAGAGAAGAGGACTGAACAAGAGATAACGATTTGAATGTTATATTCTAATGGGTGGCATTTGAAATTGTGAGAGGGCATAAACTCATAGGAGAGTGACACTGCCACGTACCTGCTTTGCATCTTTCAGCCAGGTGCTTAACTTCTCTGAAACATTATTTATTAAACATTTATTCTGTCCTGGCATCACATCAAGCAATTTATATGCATCCTCGTTTAATCTTCGCAACCACTTTATGAGGTAGACACCATTTTTATCTGCTATTTACAAAAAAGGAAAACGAAGTTCAGTGAGATTAGTCTTTTGTCCAAGATCAGACAGTACACGAGGGAGACGAGACCAACTCTATTTGTTGTGCCTTGGCTTTTATGGTCCAGGAAACCGCAGCATCGATAAGATCTATGAGTTTGTTAGGCCAACTGAATCAGAATCTGAATTTCAACAAGACCCCTAAGTTATGTACACAGTACCTGTGAGAAGCACTAGACTCTAGCCTGCCTCCAGAATGGGTTCCACTCAGGCAAGAGCTGCACCAAGACCCTAGCTCAGAGTTCTAGAACCACATGTTTCTCACCTCTGTATCTTTGCTCATACCATTCACTACCTGGAGCAAACACTCTTGCTGTAACCTTCAGATTACAATTCTGTCTCCTCCACTATGCGAACGTCTCCAAGATCAGATACAGTTCTCTGTCGCCTGGGTACCCTAAGGCCAGGCAAAATCAAGACCCAAAGCGGACGCGCAGCAACTAAGTGAACTCAATAAAGAAGTAATAAATGAAACTTAACTTGTCGCCTCAGAGACCCGCGCAGGCGTACGACACCCTCCCCAGCCGCCGAAGGAGGCGCTGCAGCAAAAGAACAGCGAGCGCGAGGTTTAAATGCCAGAGCTCTGGCCTCCAACGGGCTGGGCGCTGAGCGCATGCGTGCAGCCCGAGGCGCCAGCTCAGAGGACCTTCCCCGCATGCGCGGAAGCGAAGCCGGATGTGGATTGAGTTGGAGGAAAGAACGCGGCCCAGTGGCAATGGCGGCGCTCGGAATTGCGATGGGTGGTGGCAGTTGGTTTTCGGCTTTGGTACTCGGGGTGACTCTCCTCAAATGCCTTCTTATCCCCACCTAGTAAGGGACCCACACGGCCAGGGGCTGGGCGGGGAGGCCTACGGTCGGTTAGGGCGGGAGAGAGAAGCGCGGATGTGAGAAGCAAGGGGAACTTGGAGGTTGTGTAGTTCCCACTCCGTCTCTGCTACGCTTCCCATTCCACCGATTGATTGTTACTTTACCTGAGAACTAGATCTTAGCCCTGGACGGCTGAGTTCAGGCCTGGCGTTGTCTGACTTTAATGTTTCTGAGCCTCAGGGTCCTCATCCGTAATATGCAGATTAAGAGCACCCACCTCCACTATTCATTCAGCCGTTTATCAGCCGCCTGCTGCACTAGGCACTGTGCTAAGTCCTAGAGATGCAGTGGAGAGAAAGACATTTCCAATCTTTGCATCGGTGGAGTCGGTGGAGGCAGATAGGCAAAACAGGAAAGTTTCAGATTGTGCTAAGATCAGTATCTAATAGAAAGTGACTATGGGGCAAGCCTTTACTCTTTTAGGAGGTAATGTTTGAGTCACAATCCGAAGGATAAAAAAGAATAAATGTTAAAAGCAGTTCGAGCATAGGAAAAAGCAAATGCAAAGGCCCTGTGGTAGGAAAGAACTCAGCATTTTCGGAATACAAAGTGGCCATTGTGGCTCAAGAGCAGTAAGTGAGGAGTTAAGGGACACAGGATGAGATAGGCAGTGGCCAGATGACACAGGGTTAGACTGCAGTATAAAAAATGAATGCAGGACCAAGACTGAAAGCATGGAAACCAGTCAGGAAGCAACCACCAAGTGGTAATGTGTATACAATAGGTAGTCAATGTTTATTAATATTAGTTTACATTTTCTGTTTGTCCTTCCTAACTCTTCTCCCTTGGCTTTTCCCTTCAGTTCTTTTTTCCCTTCCCTCCAGGTTCCCCTACCATGTTTAGAGTTTGATTTATTGGTATCTTTTGGTTCAAGTTCTTGGTGACCTTTTGTTGAGTAGGGAAGAGTTGTATGTGTGGAATGTACATTCATACCGATGTGTACATCAGCAATGAAATGTATATGTAGATTACACAAAATGACTTAACAGGGACATGGGAAAAGGATTTAATCACTTGATCTTTCTGCATAACTGAAAGCAAATAAAAATATCTTTATATTTTAAAAGCAAATTGGAAAAATCTAAAATGTAGGAAATTCCTTTTAAATTAAAGTGAAAGATTTTTTTTAACTGTAGGTTTGTGCATATAAGGTGATGTTTCTTATTTTTGTTACTTCGGCCCAGAACTGTCTTCAGGATTATTTTGAATACTGCTTTTAATACTGGTCCAGGATAAATGCAGATGTATTCAACAAATTGATTACTAACTGCTTTATTATGTACCAGTTACTGGGGCTAAGCACTGGAGGGGAAGACAAAATGGATATGGTCCCTAATTCTGTAAAGGCTATAGTTTAGTAAGGATAATAGTTCCAGAAGCAAATCAGTGCAAATATGTAATTACATAATTATATTTGTGTTAAGTATTATGAAGAAAAAGAATGGGAAACCCTAAGGGGAGTAACAAGAGGGACTTACTTTACATTGGGTGTCAGGGAGGTCTCTGATAGTAGGCCCGAAGACACCTAGTACATGTCTTTTGGTAAACATGTATACATTTCTGTTGAGTGTGTGTGCGTGCTCACATACACACTTAGAAATGGAATTCTTAGGTCTCATCAGATCAGTTTTGAATTGTGATTTTGAGAACTGTGAGAAATTCCGGCGACATCGTAGCAAGAAGTTGGAGATGTCTGTTTCTAGAACTCAGGAAAGAGACCTGATTTGGGAGTCATCATTATACAGTTGACAGTGAAAGCAATATGTTTGATGAATATTGGAACAAAAAGCAATGAACAAGACATAGCAGTTGACTAGAACACTCAGGAGAGAGTTGTCTCTGCAGACAGGTTGTGTAAAACACTGGGAACTACTAATCAGGCTTTGCTGTGGAACACGTTGACCTTGGTGAGCGATTAATTCAACAAGAATATATTGAGCCCATCCATGTATCAGGTACTATTCTAGACATGGAAAGCAGATAGAGCAGCAGACAAACGGAAGAAAAAGTTTCTACTAAAAAGAGGAGAAAGGTTGCAAAACATACCACCCCAAAATATGCCTCTTTGGCATAAAGATTGTATTGGACTGATTATTTCAAGAAACTGTAGACACAGGAGAAGTTCTGAAAACAAGAGTAGAAGTTACCCTTTTGCAAGGGAATTTTACATTAGAGAGGGAGCCTTTACCTGAAAAAGAGCTATTATGAAAAATCATTTTTTCACCTGAGAGGCGGGTCAACCTTTGTTTACCAAACATTTTCTCTCCTCACCTTCCCATGAATTGTGTTTCCTCCTTTGAAGACTCAGACTCATATCCTTTTTCTTAGCTCAGGATGGTACATAAGCCTCAGTCACCTGGTACTTTTGAGTGCCATATCTTTTTCATATCTTTTGGGGCTCCTGTTCATACCTGAATAATTAAAATTTTTTTTCTCCTATTAATCTGTCTTATGTCAATTTAATTCTTAGATTAGTCACAGAACCTTGAAAGTCAGGGGAAATGCTTGACTATTTATAGTGAAGGGGAAAACAGTAAACAGGGAGAATTTGGAGACATGGAAAAGGCAGGACAGGACTTTTCCCACCTTCGCTGTCTGAGGAACTCCTACTCTTGGAAGAAGATCCAGCTTGTCTGTGAGGCCTTTTACAGATGATGAATCTTGTTAGACTTCTTTGTGAACAAGAATAAGTCACCTCTGAACAATAGCCTAAGGGCCTCCCTTAAGAAAAAGTATGGGATATGTGGGATATAAACCTAAAAGCAGCAAACGAACAGGACAAACAGAGACTCACATGGACAATAGACTAGTGGTTATCAGAGAGTAGGAGAGAGGGGAAAGGGAAGGTAGATGGGGGGAAAGGGGTCAAATATGTGGAGACAGAAATCTAACTATGGGAGGTGAACACACAATGTAAATATATATATGCCTTAAAGTATACAGCTAAAACTTACTGTATTTCATTAACCAGTGTCACCATAAAAAATAAATTAAAAAAATAAAGTATAGGCTTTTGGACAGCCCTTTAGATAACTCTGAGACCCTTTTCACTTACTTGTAGTTCCAACTTTGCCAGAGGAGGTCTGGCCTCCAGATAAGTGAGGTATTTCAGGATTATATAATGTCCATTTGTATCTGTGTACAGTGAGCTGTGACTATGGGATGTTGGTCCATTTAAAAGCATAATGTTAGAAATGTGAAATTGATAAATTACAAAATCTCATTCATCTGATTATTTCAAATAGCCATTCCACAGATTTTGAAGTACACCGAAACTGGCTTGCTATCACTCACAGTTTGCCAATATCACAGTGGTATTATGAGGTAAGTTTTAATTTTCACCTTTTTGGTTGTTTTTTTTTTTTTTAAGATGATGTGTGAAATCAGAAAGTATTACTGATATTAAAACTGTTTTCTGTGTGATCATAGGACAAATAAATCTTTATAAAAAGCCTTTCCCTCTGGCACTATTAGGGAATCCATTTACTTCAGAATAAATTTCCCAGACTATATATTGGGAATTACAGTATCTGCCACACCCCTTTAGAAAGAACATTGGATTGAAAAAGAGGAAAAATTGGGTTCTAGGCCTGGCTCTGCCACAGCATAGAAAGTATATTGCATCTCTCTGAGCTTTAGTTTCTCATCTGACACATGAGGATTTGGAATAAATTGTTTCTAAGATACTTTCTTTCCATAATATTTTGTGATTTATGCAGAAAGGAGTAATTAAATGTGTGTGTAGGCGTCTGGTAATTTTCAAACCATTCTCTTATTATTTATAAAGACCATGTCTTTATTTTTATATCTGGTTTGAATAAATTGCATATGGTACTCAGTTTACAAATTGAATCTCTGAGACAGAGCTTGTACCTAAGCTAGTGAATCATTGGTTATGCCATAGCTCACTTTTTGTATTTAGATAAATAGAGCTATGTCATAATCAAGTTTATTATTGCAAGATGTTCAGATTAATTTCCTTTGCGGTATAGTTGACTCTATTTAAGTTAGTTGAAGACCGTATTAAATAACTTAAGATACAGGTTTTGATGTTTTACTCAGTGTTAACATACAAAATTGTTCTAATTATGACATTTTAAATGCAATTTCATTTCATGTCCTTTTTTGAAAACTAAAGAATCTTCTCACCTTCTTCGTTTATTTGGTTACCTAGGCTGTGTTCTGTCTTCAATTTTTACCACAGGCTACTTCGGAGTGGACCTTGGATTATCCCCCTTTTTTTGCATGGTTTGAGTATGCCCTGTCACATGTTGCCAGATATTTTGATCAAGAGATGCTGAATGTCCATAATTTGAACTATGCCAGCTCAAAGACCTTATTTTTCCAGAGATTTTCCGTCATCTTTACAGATGCACTCTTTGTGTATGCTGTGCATGAGTAAGTCTGGAAATGTCATTTTGTGTGGAAGATATTGAGGAACTATCGTATTAAATAGTATTAACTTGTTCTTCATTTGGGGAACAAGTTCATATAATAGCAAATGCTAGAATAGTCTAAAACTGTATGCATTTTAAACTGCTCAGTGAGTCATTACAGTAAGCAATCTAGCTGAATCTTGTGGAAGAAAATGGGGGATAAGATAGGG